TTAGTACAAAATGCAGTGGTAAGTATGGTCTGGGATGCTCCCAAAATCTATGGTTTACTATAGAGTGTTTGGGCGGATCCTAGAGCGCGATTTGGGCCGGGAGCGGGACAGTTCGGGGGCGGATCAAACCGGCGCGATCATACCACAACATCTGGGAAGCGTCTTGCTTCCGTCCCCGAACTGGCCCTTCCCCGCACAAATGCGCCTCAAGTTGAAACCACCTACCTTGGTGGTTCAACTGGAAGCCGCGCTGCTAGCCGGGCGTTTGATCGCCGGCGCGTCATTGCGCCGGCACAACCCCGGCCCGGAGCCGAACTGCGCATGCTCTGACATGCGCAGTTCGGCCGGCTCCCGGTTAGGGCCGTGTTTTCTCCCCGGCGTTTGATCGCGCCGGGGAGAAAAGGCGCCGTGGCCAAGGGATCCGTGGGATCCTGCCGCGGTGTCTCAACGTTGGCGCGGCTTTTAAAAGCCGCGCCTTTAGAGGCTTTTCCCCTGCCGTGTGGCAGGGGCCCTAGAATGAGCTTTAGAGATGGTTTGCAAGTAGATTTTGCCATTTCACACAGCAAAATCCAGTTGTAAAGTGCACTGTAAGTGCATTGGAAGTACACTGTTCAGCGTGTGTGAAAGTGCTAGTGTCTCCCCCATTGTCCATTTCCCCCTGCTGCCCTGATTTCCTAAGACAGTACGAAACTTGGTAAGCCATTTGCTTACAGGTCCAATTCAAAGTGCCAGTCATTACCTGTAAAGTGAGGGTTGCCAACTTCCATGTGGTGACTGGAGATCTCACAACTCATCTCCTGACAACAGAGATCAGTTCACCTGGATAAAATGGCCACCTTGGAAGGTGCACTCTATGACATCATACCCCATTGAAATCCCTCCCCTCTCCAAACGCTCCCCTCCCCAGGCTCCACCCCCCAAATCTCCAGCTATTTCCCAACCCAGAGCTGGCAACCCTATGTGAAGCTCTTCACGGGTTAGGGCCTCATACTTATTGGTCACCATCTCCCAGTGTACTCCCATGAACCAGTTACATTCTTCAGACAGCTTCCCCCTTAAGGTGCCCTCCCTTAGGACTGTTCAGACGGCTACAGCAAGATCACAGGCTTTTTCCCTAGTGAGCCCAGTCCTTTGGAACAGTCTGCCAGAAAGCATTTGATGGGAAATTAACTATTCCAGCAGTTCTGCCTGGGAGTTTGCTAATCCTGTGTGCTTTCATTCTTGTGTGTTTTAAATTTTAAATTCTTTTCCATTTGTAATGTGTGTATTTTAGTGTTTTCTTTTGTTAATTGGACTGCTATTTATGTCTTCACAATTCGGTTGCCTCGAGCCCAAGAAGATAAGAGGGGATAGAAATGAGCTCAAAATAATTCACACAAATTTGTCAGCAGTCAACTACCATTTATGAGTTTGAAAAGAGTGAGTTGTTGGTTAGTTTTTCTGCTTGTGAACAAGGGAGAAACTATATACTTGAGATCAAGGACCTGCATCCACAGATGCCATGTAGAATGGGGGATGTAATAAGGAAAGGAATTGGGTGAGATTGATTTAAAAAGCCAGCAAGATCCAGCCCAACATATATTTTAGTTTGCTGTAAGCTCCCTGGTTTTTCCACTTTGCCCTTTCTAGACTGAAAGTTCCTTGGGGCAGTGATTTCTCTCTTGAGGTGCCAACCTCCAACTGGGACCTGGATATCTCATGGAATTCCAACTGTTATCTGTTCTCCAGATGACAGAGATCAGTTCCCATGGGGAAAATGGCTGATGTGGAGGGTGCATCTATGGCATTACATCCAGCTGAGGTCCCTCCTCTCCCCAAACCCCAGCCTCCACCCCCAAATCTCCACCCTATTGCTCTCTCTGTGTGTATGTTTCTGTGAAACAGCAAGTATGTTGATTTCAAACGTGCAAGTATTAATACAGAGTAGAATTTGCCCTGAGATGTGAAGGGTGGAAATAACGTGATACTGGAAAAAGTTTTATATTCCCAGTAAAAAAAAATAGCTAGACAAGATAAAAGATGTTTTTGTATGCTAAGATTAAATTTTTGAAGGTTTAGTAGTGTATAGAATATTAATATTGGGAAATATATGATTTATTGCAGGGAAGATTTTAATGAAAATATAAGTTTGCTATAAATGATGTGCATTTTGTAGTATAGATGTACATTTTGGACAATTATGTAGGTTTGTAACTTTTGTAGATAATGGGGTGGTATTAGGTGTTTATGTATATTTACATAAAATTACTGTAAAAAGGATGATAAGAAAGAAATAATAATAAAGAAGAAACAGATGTTAATGGAGAATACAATATGTTAAATTACAGGAATTAGGCACAGGGATGGGCACAAACTGGGAAAATGTGGCTTGATTCGTGGTTCATGGTGTGCCCCATTCACAAACTATGAATTGTCATGAACTTTTCGCTTCCAAATGAACTGATTCAGTTCATGAGGTATGTGAGATGCTAAAATGTCTCCAAGCATTCTAGAAACACCTGACTCACAGGTGATATCCAGATGACTCTCCTCTACCTGCACTCCAAATTTGGTGAGGATTGGATCTATAGGGTACGAGGTACGGTCACCCAAAGAAGGTGCCCCCAGGAAAGTGCTCTCTGGAGAAATGACAGGTGCAGGTTCAGGAGTGTATAGAATGGATCCTGTGCAAGCTAGACACATCAAAGTCACAGAGGACTTCCTCCAGATGCTCCTCTACATGTCCTACATGTTCCACCTCCCCATTGCTTTGAAGTTTGGTAAACATTTAGATTGAGTGAAGACAGGCTGTCTGGAAATGTATCCATTCACCAACTGGGGCGAACTGTCACAAACTGCTTGAAAGTTAGTGGAAAGTTTGTGCCAGTTGACCTGCCACAAACTTGAGTTCGTGAACTATGAACCAGCCAAAATCGTCACAAACTTTAGATCATGAGCCAGTTCATGCCCATGCCTAATTGTGCACAATTCTGTCCATCTGAACAGGTTGCACAAGTAAGATTACCTGCAGATATGTTTGTCGATCTTTTATTTCACTGCAAACACTATGTTTGGGCTGGGACAAACCCAGACTTGCCCTGTCCTTTATCTTATGCTTTCCTAAAGTCATTTGTGGCTTACATCATTTTAAAAATAAATGTACAGCCATGTGTTTTGTTTGCGGTCTTCAGTCTGAAGGTAGCGGATGCTCTGCTCCCTGGATTCCATATTGCATCTTTTGCCAAAAGTGCAGATAGGTGGACTATAAATCTATGATCAGACATCACCTTTAACTGCTGTTCGGTAAAAATGTTAACTAACCCCTTCATTGCTGTCCTCATGTGTGGGTCTTGCTAATCTTCCCTCCTTTCTTGCACATAGAACTGGAGGTAGAAACTACCCCTAGTTACCTGTGACCAGGGGTCATTTCGTAGAAAAAGAGCTAGGGGAACTCATTAGCATAACTTATTAGCATATGCCACACCCCCTGACATCAGGGGCCCCGCGGTGGACCTGCAAGGCCGGCAGGAGTGCGAGGAAACCCCGCCAAGGCCCTCCCTGGCCCCAGGCAGGCAGGGGTGGGGAGAGGTGGGGAGGAAGCAACTTACCCTCCCTCTTCTCCTGCCTCCTCCTGGCTGAATGAGGGCTGGAAGTGGGGCGGCCGGAAGCAGGGGGTGGGGCTTCATCGTGTGCCCCGCCCCCCGCACCTCACTCGGGGAACTGCGTTCCCCCGCGTTCCCCCCCGAAATGACCCCTGCCTGTGACATACAGATGCAGGCTCTCATGAGTTAGCCCCCCTAGCAAACTGGGATTCTAAATTGGAAGGGAATTAACTCCTGTTACCTTTTCTACATGCATTATTATACCTTAGGAAACTGGAATTAGTTTTTAACTGTGATTGTCCATGTGAAAAGAGAGGGGAGCAGTGTGCAACAACCCAGATTCATCTGCATATTTCTTTAACCACGGTTAACTGTGATGCCTGTATACAATATCTGATTTCTGACTTAGAACTATTTCCCTTTACTATGGATCTTCTGTAGCTGTATAAGGTACTGTTATGCTCTTCCTACTTCCTTACATGATAAAAAGTTTGAAGAGCAGCTGTATCCCTTTGGTTGAGAGAGCATGAAACATTTGTCCTTTATTGACTACTATACAAGCTTTGCATAGGTGGCAAGAGGGTGCTCCTACAGGGCAGCAGGATGGCTACTAGATCTTGCACCTCAAGGTGCTTCAGCCAGCTCACAGCAGTTCTCTGCCCCTTCTTTTTTCTATCTCTTCACCAATTCAAACTGTTGCTTCTTTGCAGACATATTTCCAGAGTCTACAGAGTGGCTCCTTCAAGGCTACCAGTGCCACAGGGGCCACTGGGTTTCGCTTGCTCCTGGGCCATTTTAACATCCCATTCTGTATTCTGGAACTGGCTATATTCCTGCACATTTTGGGGATGGATTCCATTGGTGGCCTTGGAATGGCTGCCTGGCTGTGCTGCAAGCAAACTCAGGCAACTCACCACCAGGGAGTTGGCTCCTGGGAAGCGTTCTTTTGCAGCATGACTGACAACAGGCTTAGGCTCCCCCTGCTGTCAGATCCAAGCGGAGTAGTCCCTGCGGCACTGTTTGGGCTGTTGCGGCTTGGCCTGGCTTGCTCCTGGCGATGTTATCATTCTGTCCTGGTACCTTCAAGGGCCGTTCTGTTCCTGCCTGCCTTTGTGTTATTTGTGCGGTGTCTAGTTAGAGGTCCGGCGTAGTGGTTCTATATTCTTGTCAAGGAGCAGTCCCCAATGCTCACCCAGAGTGTAAATCATGTGCACGTGCTTTACAGAGCAGCGCATGAAATATGGGCATTTCACCTCCTCCTCCTTTTAAGGAAACATGAGCAGCATTTTTAGCAGTAGATCAGATTCGGGCGTGATGAGCTACACAGATGTCCAGATGAACTGTACCATAATAAAGCAGCTGAGGACCTCAGTGTTTCTCTAATTAAAACAGTATCCCCTGGAATAATTTTTTTTCCAGATCAGGAAGTGTCCTGCACCACTGGAGTGAAATCTATTACTTTGTGGAACATCTGGCTCACAAATTTATAAGGTAAGGAATGATAGCCCGCTGATAGCGGAAGCAAAAAGTGGGAGAATGGGAGGATGGGAGAGGTAGTGTGTGGTGCGCACATTTCCCAGCCATGGTCCGGTGCAAAGTTATGCATACTTAAATCAATTTGTATCCATGTGGTTAAGTACCTTAAGGCTCCAACTCTTACTAGGGAGTAAGTCCCATCGAATGTGTATGGAATGGGCTTGAATAGCTATGGTCAGTCATTACCTCCATGATTAATCATGAATTACACCAGATGAGAAGTAGTCGCTTAAAATCTTTCTGGGCTTGGTTCTTGCTTACTGTCCATGTAAATTAAACCCCATAGATTTTCATTAATCATGTATATATTTCTCAGGACACATGCAGTCCCCAGAGGGGCAAATAGCACCCCAGGGCTGTTTTGGGTTGGGAAGATGTCACAGAAGAGGAAGCTCCTTCTCTCCATGTGTCGTGGTCCTGCTGACCTGAATTGTGGCCCTGAGCATTTGGAAGATGAGTTCCCAGCAGGGTGACAATATGACTGACTGATTCACAGTCAGGTTGGGGAATGTGGCCCAAATTGTAATGTGTACCTTGGCCCTGTGTGTGTTTGACCAAGCATGGTTATAGCCCTGAAGACATGTTCATGGTCTTGTAATGCAGCTGTATCTTGATTGTATACCAGTATAAGTGATACAGTTTCTCTCTTAAGAATCCTGGTAGTTGTGCAGTTTGGTGAGGATGGTAGGAATTCTCTTTGAAATCCCCTAGCTTGCCTCAGGGTTCCCCATGGAAAGGGAAAGACCATTAATTTGTGGCATGAAAACATTTTACCATCAGTGGTTTATACTGAATTCAGGACTGTATTGGCTGTGGTATTATTTGTACTACCCCTTATTCCTCAGTGCCACAGAACAAGTCTAGCCTCTGATTATCCAGCCTATCTTTGTCTAGTATCAGCCTGGTTAAGCACTAAGTTGAGAGGATAACTCTGACACAGAAATGGGTAGAAGTTTGTGTAGACGTTTTGTGGCCATGCTGTATTTTGTGAAGCTCTCAGTCAACACAAACTCCCTACAAAGAGCTTGTTGGGTTGCTGAATGTTAGGCATTCAAGTCTGACTATGTTCACTTAACAAAACAGTATCCACAATTTCAATAAGGTCATATGTACACAAGTGAGCTTGTACATTTCATTGTTCAAACGTTTCCCATGCTTATGGATGAGGAGCACTCCAGTTTGGGTACAGAGTCTTTGTGACAGTAGGGGAGGAGATTATACCTGTCCTAAAGCATTTACCCGCAGGTCCTGTGCCCTTTTAATAGAACAGCAGCTTGGAGTGTTGAACCTTAACAGGGGGGTCTGTGAACATGAAGTATAGAATAAAGGAATGGGGGATGGATGGAGGGGAAACCAAGATTAGGAATGGAGGCCTAAATGTGTGTTCATCAAGCATGTGTGAAAACAGGCCATCATAAATACAGCTCAGCATGCACAATTTCCAAGTTTCACCAACTCATCTCCATGCTTTTTCATGGAGGCAGATGTGCCTATGTTCAGTCATCAGAAATCAAGAAGGAGAAATCAAGCAATGTACATCTAATTGTGTGTGAACTGGGACAGAGTGCTTCTTTATGCTTTCTTTATGCAGCCCCCAGCTGAGGATGTCCTTCATTGTATTCTCCACTAGAGGCTCAACTCTAATGAGGCTTACTGAAGACAGGTGAGAGGGAATGCAAATGATAAGGTCCATAAAGCATGTTTCTTATGGTAGTTCATCCAAAGTTTGACTTCTGCAGGGGTACACTTAGTCCATGCAAGGAAAGCAAAGAGGAATTTGACTCTGTGCGTCCAGTGCTGTTTTCCAGTATATTGACCAGAGCAACAGGCCCAAGTCTGGAGAGCCATCTCAGTCACATTTTCAGAAGCACTTTTGAAAACTGTTACACTTAAACCAACAAAACGAATTTCAAGAAGCAGTCAACAACCCTTTCCCTTATTGGACTAAACAGAACCCAGCCATGCCAAGGTTCAAGCCACATAACCAGGCGAGTCAGACCCTGGCTAGTCATGACCCATTCCGTGCAAAAAACAATCAAGCTCTGCCTGTCCAGACTTTGGAAGCCCCCCACCCCGTGAGAGGAAAAGAAATCGATGGTAGGACAAGCTGTTGGCTGCATTGCCTTTGCTTATCTCTCTGCTTAGCAGTTAATTTTCCCTTGGGTTTGGGAGGGGAAGGAGCAAGGAAAATTAAGCACAGATGAGCAGTGAAGGGTAGAATTAGGGCCAGCGGCTCTGGCTTCCTGGTGTGTTCACTTACAGTACTTGCCAGCTTGTCTCTGGAGGAACCCCTCGGAAATCTCATCAGACACAGATATTTTTCACTTGGGTGAGCCTGCTCTTGCACATCTGCCCCATTTACTCTACTATCTGTAAGTAGATTCCACCTGACCCATAGCCCTCTTAAAGAGTCTCACAGACAGCTGTTTCAGAAGGCAAAGTGAGTCAGCTCCCTTCAGTGGTATGCCCACCCTTGAGAGAGCAGCGGAGGAGAGACTAACTAAGTCTTGGGGCTCAATTGTCAAGGAGTTGTTCCTGCATAAGCCTTTTTGGAACTGACACCAGGGAGGAGATAGGATTTCACTTGGCATTTCTGGATGGGTGGAGCAAAAATGTACGTGGACTTTGGATACTGTACGTGAGAGGTGCTCATTCTAAACTGGTTCCCAGAAGCAACTTCCCAGTTGTTGATGTATTTATTTATTTTTATTTATTTATTTGCATTTTTACCCCGCCCTCCCCGCGAATGGGCTCAGGGCGGCTTACACAGAGGCATAAGCCTATACACAAAACAATATAAAACAATAAAACCATTAAATCACAACAAATAGATAAAGTGCTCCATACAGACAAGATGGTCTGTGAGGATGGTAACAAACATTTCCTTAGGTGAAATTGTCCTGTCGATGGTCCAAGCCAGTCTAGCAGCATCAGTGCCATGCAAATTTATGGCCATTCTTCCGGGGACCACTCCCAAACCCGTTGTTTCAGTGGTGGTAGTAGTAGAAGTGGCGGCCCCTATATAAAAGCGTGGCGGAAGAGCTCCATCTTCCAAGCATTGCCCATAAACCCACAATACAAGATTCTATTGGGGAGTTTAGCACCATCTTGCTTCCTCCTCTCTTTGTCCTGTCTTCTCCGAGGAAGGGATGAGACTGGAAGGGGGGGGACACTTAAACTCCAGTCAGATTCTGTTAATTTATCTATTTAGTCATCACCTGCCTCACCTCTGAAGGCAAGGGCACAGAGAACAAGGCTTCTGAGGTAGATCTTAACAGGCAGGCTGGATAGGATGGGAGGAGATGGCTATTTTGGTACCCTGGCCCTAAGTAGGGTTGCCAAATCAAAACTCCCTACCGGCGGGGGATCGTCTTGCCGGTCCGGGAGCCGCTCTGGGATGCGCGCGCACGCGCCGCCAGGACGTCACCGGAAGTGACGTCACACGCTGGGCGGAGCCACGCCATTTGAGGGGAAAACCCTACCGGGGGGGTTGGCAGCCCTAGCCCTAAGCCAGGTCCTTTCTTGGGGGAGGTGAGAAAGATAGATGGGGCTTGAGGTCTTGTACTGTGGTATGCCTCAGAATCTTTGACATCTAGTGGTATAACGTGTTTTTGAGTTTCCAGGTGTGTTGTCCCTTTAGTAGGGGTAGCATTTTGGTAGATGTGGAAGGAGGTAGAAAGTAAGATTTTTAGAAAAGTGTAAAAAAAAAGCATTTTCTGTAGTTTCGTATCTTACACTTTTATTATCAAAACAGGCCAGTCACTGCCCCACCCCCCTGAAGGAAAGTGATTTTGGGCCCATGGTGCGCAGATCACTTTACGTGGACTCATATAATCATTACAACAAATTTAGAGTCCAATGGCACCTTTAAGACCAACAAAGGTTTATTCAGGGTATGAGCTTTCCTGTGCACGCACACTTTATCAAATATCAAAGCTCATACCTTGAATAAACCTTGGTTAGTCTTAAACATGCCATTGGACTCTAAATTTATTGTACTGCTTCAGGCCAACACGGCTGACCAACTGGATCATATAATCAGTGTTGCTCAAGACCTAACTACCCTTTACGTTTTCTCTAGGATCTCCCCGAGTCCACGCAGTCAACCGTACACTGTTGGTTCCATGCTGGGAACTTAATTGCTGGCTTGCATGAATCCAGTATGGATCGGGACCACAGTGCATGAGGGAAGGGGCATACCATAGTACAAGACCATGCTGTTTTCCTGACCTGCAATGGCCCATTGGAAGCAACCTGAGGGTGTCCCATCAGTGGATCCCCAGAAAGACAAAAGCAGTCCCCAAGAAAATGACATGGAGAAAAGACTGGAACACACACACACACACCCCGGAATTGCAATTTGATCCAAACTGGGCCCTCATGTACCTGGGATTAAGTTCCCAGCACAGAACTCACAATATATGTTTTATTGCATAGACCTGGGGAAACATGTAATATATTGTTAGTACATATAGAACCAATGGGCTGGCCAAACATGTACATACACCTGAGGAATAATCCCATATAGTCTGAGGAGCAGGCATGGGGAAAAGAGTACCATTCTGGCCAGCCGCTAAGCAGGACTAAAAGCCAACTGCTGTTGTTTGTTCCCAGCATCTGGTATTTAGAGCTATACTGTCTGAACATGGCAGTACCATTTTGTTAGTCATGGCCAATAGCTTTTGATCAATTTAACCTTCATGAGTGTCTTCTAATTTCCTTTTGAGGCCCCTTCCTTTTAGCATCTGTCAAAAGTCCTGTGTATGCAACATCCATACAGAGCTTTTCTCTCATGAGAGTCACGCTCCCCCTTGTTCTTGACCGGGTGCTGATTTCAGGCTGAATAACAGGGCCATGTTCGCCAAAAGCTAGATAGGACCTGGGAGGCTTTTGTTTAGGTTGGCAGCAGAAGTGGCTTCATCTGGTTTACTTGGCAAAAGGCACTCCAACTCTGGTTTCTTGTATCAGGGTGACAGCAACGTGCGAGGGCTTGACCTAATTACAACTCCTCCTCTTCTTCTTCTTTCCCTCATTTTACACAAATAAACTGACTTGGGAGAAAACTTACAGATGAATGCCTGAGGAAGGGTGGCTGTGAGCGTGCTTTCGCTTGGCCTCAGAGAACAAAGCAGAGCAAACATGGCTCATCTGAATGTTGGAGATAGGACTGCAAAATAGGCTGCAGGCCTGATTTAGGCATATTGGATTGTGGGTAAAAATTAAGCTTCTCCCTTCTTTTCATTTCTGCTTTCCCGTCACCTGGCTAAGACCCAGTCCTTGGATTTACACTAGTATTAAAGTGGGGGAATGCTGTCCCACTCTTCTTTGGTCACCACTCACAGGCGGGTAAGCAGCAGTGCCAATTGGTGGTGTGTTTGTGGTTGAGAAGGTACATGTCTATCCTTCCGACTCAGCCACTGGAACTGTCCTGCTCTCTCCTTCCCATCCTGAACCATTTGGCATTACAGTTTGTGAGGGTTCTATGGCAACATTACTCTCTCACAAAACCATAATTCCCAGAGTCCCATGTGTGAAGTCAATGCATGATTTTGCTGTTTCAATTTTTGTTGTATTGATGAACCGGCGTATATCACTATTAAAGCTGAGAAAACAGGAAGGAACACCTTCAAAGAATACAGAAACAAACACAGAGAAAAATAAAGTGTCGTATAATTGTAGAAATATAAGGAACATCAAAAAGAAGTTAACACACATGACAAACAGTGGATTAACATCCAAATTCTGTTTCAAGTAGATCATCAGATTTTGCATCTCATACAGTAGGGGTGAGAAACCTTTTTTTGGCTCCTTGATTTGAACTGCATGACTGACACATGTGGTAATACTCTGATCATGTCCCCTACTCCTCCACAGATCATTTTTTTGCATTTCTACATTTATTTCTACTTATTTATCTAGTGTGTTTTCATTCTGCTTTTCTTTCCAATGGGGATCCAATGGGGACAAGAATTTCAATAAATTGAAACAAACAGAAGGAAACACAGTGTTAAGAAACAAGCACAAACCAAAAAGTACACATGGACTGATCTGGATATCCTCTTGGTTTGTCCATCAGGCCACAGGCCACCAAGACTTTGGTTTGTGCTGTCCTCCACCCTGGCGCACCTAGGCTTTAAGGACCTGCAGTAGGAGAGAGAAACACCCAGCCTAGATCTCATAAACTGGCAGCCATTTTCCCATAGTTCCCCTTCCTGCTGTCGTCTGAACTGAGCTAACCTCCTAAGTCAGCAAACATTGTTGTCTTTGTATTGCAGTAGGAAAAAAGGGAAAGATGGGGTTGAGGTAGCCCCTTCCTTCTCAAAGGCCCCTAGTGAGCTCTTGGTTGACATATGATCTAGACCGAAGAGTTCCCTGCTATAATTCTTGGTATTTGGTTAATATGGCAATGTTTACTCAGTCATAGAAGCATGATTCTGAGTACAGTAAATAAAAGCTCCCAAGAAGTATATTAAAGTAAATGTAAAGGTTTCCTTTGCTTGAAAGCCAGTCGAATCTGACTCTAGGGGGCGGTGCTCATCTCTGTTTCCAAGCCAAAGAGCCAGCGCTGTCCGAAGACTTCGCCATAGTCATGTGGCCGGTATGACTAAACGTCAAGGCACATGGAATGGTGTTACCTTCCCACTGAAGTGGTACTGTTTATCT